ATATATATATATATATATTTATTTATATATATAAATATTTTATGAAAGGCGATGTTGCATCATCGTTTTCGGCGACGTCTCCTTATATATATATATATATATATATATATATATATATATATATAAACGAGGCGACGTCACGTCTCCTTGTCGACGTTGCCCCGTGTGGGAGTAGGAAAAGGCGACGTCGCCGAGGCGATGCGACGTCGCCGAGGCGATGCGACGTCGCCTTTTAAAAAAAATATATAAATATATATATATATATACCGAGTGGTATACCAAACGGTATACCTCTCGGTATGCAGTTTCGTACCGTACCAAGCGAACGTTGAAACTCTGGTACGATACGAAATTGCATACCTTGGGTATATTGTTGAGAATGTATGAAGCTCCAAACTTTTGGATATATCATGTTAATGTTCTTGATTTTAATGTGGATTTTCCTTTATTGTATTTCATTTTGTTGTTGTCTCACCAAACTATTGTTGTTTATGTTTAATTATATGACGGTTTGCATGTGAAATTTGGTGCCAATGTGAATCAGTGCATGTGCATGCTTGCTTGTGTGTGTTGTATTTCATTATACCATGCAGGTATATATCATTATATGTATACGTGAAATATGTATCTGAAGTTCTGAACCCATGGAGTACTTTCACTTTTATTTAGAATGTTTCTTTCTGAAATTGTGATATTCTCTTTTTATATAACTGTAAAAATGTAATACAGGGTTGCAGCCTTCGGAACACGGAATACGTTGTTGGGGCAGTTATTTTTACTGGCCATGAAACAAAAGTTTGTGTTCTTAAGCCCCCATTCTAAACAATTCCTTTTCTTCTTTTGGTTGTCTTGTTCTCTAAAGAGTTAGGTTAACTGTTGTGCATATTAGTTATGGCTTCTACCTTCACATGACAGGTTATGATGAATTCTATGAGTGTTCCTTCTAAAAGAAGCACATTGGAAAGGAAATTGGATAAACTTATACTTACCCTTTTTGGTGGATTGTTCTTGATGTGTCTGATTGGAGCCATTGGAAGGTGATGTTAGACTTTTACTTAAGCTGCTTTATTGCTTTCTGCTATGTTATCATATGGCATCAAGTATCTTGAACATATTAATATGATCCATAAACAAAACTAGAGTGATAATTTAAATGACATTACACTTGCTGGTGGTCAAATGATAAATGAATCTCATTTCTGAGCAAAAGTTTGTTGCAGTACACATTGTAATACTTGTAAGCAAAATGTTAAAAGGCATTTTGTAGAACCTTTTGCCAACAGTCAGTAATTGACTACTTAAGTAGGTCATATATCACCACAAAAAGAACCCATCACTTCGTGGGTATTTTATAGGTGGAATATTCTTTCTAAGCAATACTAATCTGTTGGGTTAAGTGTAAATCTAATAAATAGATTAGAAAGCTATGGTGTGGATTATGGAATATCCATCTTGACAAGCTATTTAATAGACATATATTTGTTAAGATGTCTATGACAAGGGCTATAGCTTAGTTGGTAGAGTATCTCGTTTACACATGCACCGATGCTTTTCAAGGGAGCCCATAATGCAATGGACATAATTGATCATATATGGAGAAATCGATGTCTTACTCCATAGGTTCGAGGGAACAAGAGAACAATAGCTTGAGAAATATTTGGTTTGGTTTGATTCAATTGCCAAATCAAATAGAACCTGCCATTGATTTCATAGTTGATAAGGTAAATCAGTGATTTAAAAAGGCGCTCGGGCGCTCGCCTAGGCGCTCGGGCGAGGTGAGGTGAGGCCCGAGTGCCTCGCTTCACTTCCAGGTGGCACGCTTCAAAGAGGCACCGCCTGGGCGCTCGCCCGAGCCCATGCGCTAGGCGCTTCAGGCGAGCGCCTGGGTTAAACCAGGCGACCGAACCAGGATTTTAGGTCTGGTTCGGTCTCTGGTGGTTAGTTGGTTCAATCGAACCAACTAAAATCGATATCAGCTATCGCTGCCCAACCCTAATCCTGCTCGTTGCCGCTGCCGCTCCCGCTGCTCGCCGCTGTCGTTGCTCGCTACCACTGTCGCCGCTCGCCGCTCCCGCTGCTCGTCGCTATCGCTCGCCGCTCCTGCTGCTCGTCGCTATCGCTCGTCGCTCTCGCTGCTACAGTGCTCGGTACACCTGAGTGTACCACTCGGTATACTTGGGTGTACCGAGCGGTATACCGTACCGTACCGGTACCGAGCCCGGGTCGAAACGCCGGTACGGTACGGTACGACGAACCTTGCTTAAAAGAACCTCATTTCTTCCTATTCACTTGCAAGGTGTATGTAGTCTCATATGTCTTTCTTGCTTAATGATCCTATTACAAAAGAACATGTTTAATGATAAAATATTGTCCTTAATTTTCCTATATTTTGAATGTAAGGTGAATGTTACTATTGTAGCATGTGTAAACTTTCCATTTAATAGTCCAAGTAACAATGACAATAATAATAACAACAATGCACGAAACCCACCTATTTGGAATTGCTGTGTGGATATCTTTTTCTGCTATTGGGCACTGGAAAAAGCAATATCCTTGGTTAAATTAAGATCATTTAGATCTTCTATTAAAGTTTCTTGGACCTCCCTCTGCTTCTCCTTGCACTACTAATTTTCTCATATTTTCTGACTACAGAATCTCTCTTTAAGACTTGTCCATTATGATAATTCTCCCTTATTTTAAACATGTCCTTAAAACACATGTAACAATACTTCTAATTGTTTTAATAATGATCATTTGAATTTTGAAGAGCAAAAAAGATGCTATCATCAATATCTACTAGAGAGAATTTTAGCATTTCATGCAACTTACAATTGAGCTGAGCCACACCAAGTTTTCCTCTGCTTATGGCTTAGTTTATTTTAAGAGTGCTCAAGTTCTTTCAAAATTTGATATGAGTCTGAAATGTTGTTTGAACTTCAGTCATTATGTGTTTTGCCAAGCTAAGCTTGGTCTTGGCTTGTGTTGTCAGCTCAACTTAAGTTGAGGTTGGTCAACTTAACTTGTATCAGGCTCAGTTTAGTCAACTCACCTCATATTGTTAAAATCAACAACTAAAAATTCATGTTTTAGGTAAGATTAGAACTCGAGGTTCTTTTTAAGATTTAAGATGATAACCAATTGAGCTAATAATTACTTGTTAATAAAAGGTAAACACAAATATTAAGATAAGGATTCGCATAAGAAAATTATTCTTTTTTATTTGTAATAAGATTAGGAGCTTGACAAAGGAGATCTTTGGTGAGACTAAAAGACTATAAGTAGAGGTATAGCTCTAAGAGGGAGTTGATGGTGGTGCTAGGAAGTTCAAAAAGTAATTTGTAGTAAAAGATCATGTTTTGAAGATTGAAAAAATTATAAAAATGAGGAGAAATTTATACGATATAAGAGTCTAAAAAAGTGGTTAGTATGATAAGATATAAAGCTTATGATAATTTTTATAACAAATTAGGTGCTAAGGATGATGACAATGATATATACCAAATTGCTAAAGCTAGAGTAAGAAAGTGTAAGAATTTAAATAATATTAGATGTATTAAAGATTAAGATCAAAGAATACTTGTTAATGATAATGAATTTAAGAAAATATAGAGAAATTATTTTTATAAATTATTTAATAAACATTTCACATAGGACTTAACTTTAATGATAAGTAATAGTGGTAGATTTAATAATCATAGATTTGTTTATAAAATTAATGATATTTAACGATAAATAATAATGGTAGATTTAATAATCATATATTTATTTGTAAAATTAGAGCTAATGAAGTAAAAGATGCATTAAAGAAGATGGAAATAACTAAGATTGTGAGGTCTGATGATATCCCAATTGAGATTTGAAAAAGCTTAGGGGACAAGTGAGTAACTTGGTTAACCATCTTATTTAACAAAATCATAAGATTCAGAAGGATTTTTAGTGCCAATTTACAAAAATAAGGGTGACATATAAAATTGTTCAAATTATAGAGGAATTAAAATCATGAGCCATACTATGAAACTTTGGGAAAAAGTTATTGAAAGTAGGATAAGGCTTGAAACAAGTATATCTGAAAATCAATATGGTTTTATGCTTGGAAGATCAACCATAAAAGCTATTTATTTATTAAGACAATTAATGAAAAAGTATGGGGAGAAAAAGAAAGATTTACATATGATTTTTATCATGGATTTTAATTTCAAATAATTTTGCTTGTACCTGGTGGTATGTACCAGTCTGTCAACAGACCGGTACGCGGACCGCCTACTACTAGGTAGTACCGTCGATTGGGGTTGTTTCCACTTCGTTGCCACCCTAAATCGATCGTCACCGTCCGTTACTGGGTGGTATTAGCCAAGGGAGAAGAAAAAAAAGGGAGAAGAAGAGGAAAACATGGAGATCCGGCCCGCTCTCCCTGAGGCGATGAGGCCTCGGCGTCGTTGGTGACTTCTCCTCATCTGCGCGACGAGGCGACGTCGCCTTCTTTTTAACACACACACACACACACACACACATACATATATATCCACTAACTACATTGATGTTATTAAAGATATGTATGATAATGTAGCTACTAGTATTAGAATCATAGGAAGTGTCTAATGAGTTTCCTGTTAGCATAGGATTACATCAATGATTCACATTAAGTCCCTATCTTTTCACATTGATAATGAATGAACTTACTTGTTACTTACATAATAGACCTCCATGTTGTATATTATTTGCTGATGATATTTGTCTTGATAAGGGCCTAAGTGAAAATAATTATAAACTTGAACTATGGAGGTAAGCCTTAGAAACTAAAAGTTTTAGATTAAGTAGGATTAAGATTGAATATATAAAATATAATCTTAGGGATTCTAGAAATAGACAAGAGAAAATAGTTAAATTAGATGAACAAGAAGTCCCTTTAAGTAAAAGCTTTAGGTATCTTAGATCAATTATTCAATAAGATGGAGAGATCGATGAAGATATTATTCATAGAGTAAAAACAGAATGGTTAAAATGACGATGGGTGTTTGGAGTCTTGTGTGATCATCGGATACCTTTGAGATTAAAAGAAAAATTTTATAATATAGTTATGAGATTAACAATGATTTATGGATATGAGTGTTGGGTAGTTAAGAAAACAATACAAAAAGTTTGTGTTGTCGAGATGAGAATGTTGAGATGGATATGTGGTGTTGCTAGGAAAGATAGAAACTAAATACTTTTATTCGTGAGCAACTAAGTATCTATTCAGTAGAGGATAAGATGAGAAAAAATAGTTTAAAATGGTATGGGCATGCGTTGAGGAGATCTCCAGATGCGATAATCGGAAAAGGTGAAATAATTAATCTTAGTGATACAAGGAGAGATAGAAGAAGACCTAAAATGACTTTAATAGAAACTATAAATAAAGATTTAACTATCCTGAATTTAATTAAGTATATGACTTTTTACGGATCTCAATGGTAGCAAAAGATTCATATAATCGACCTCAAATAGTTTGGACTTATGGTTTTGTTGTTATTTATTGTTGTGTAATCATATGTTTAGATATATACTTTATTTATTAGCCTACTTTTTAGTTAAATAAATAATTTAATAGCAATTTTGTGTATATACCAGCTATTTGTCAACTTATCATGAACCTTCACTTACAAGTCTACAAGAAGCTTGTTCATGAGCCTGGAAGTGATTTTATTCATGAGTTTATGAGCGGGAGGTAGCTAGAGCCATTTAAACCATTTTCAAGCTTGACTACTTGAAAAATTGAGCTCTTGAATTAGGCTCAAGCTTAGTTCTTTAACCTTGAGCTTGAGCCTAATTCATAAGCTTGGCTGCTTGCATACAAGGTCAAGTGAACCTTTCAAGAGCCGAGTACTTAGCTGCTTGCAAAGAACTGACTCGTTTGCAACCTTATAGCTATCGTCCTTGGATTAATAAAAGAAACTTATGCAACACTAGAACTTATCTATTGATCTTCATTTTATTTCTTTGGCCTTTATTGTGATCAAGAATGAGTGGCATAGGTGAGAAGTTTTAACAAATTTTTGCTAAAATACAATTATTCACAGTATTTATATAATAACTGAAATATATTGCTTTCAGGCAATTTTTGATCGTTTAGATTGCAAGAGAAATAAGATGCTACCAGAAAAAAAAAAAAGAAACACAGATAGCATGATCAGACTTTAGTTTTGGCCATCCACATGTTGTTGTTAGGTTGGAAGTTGAACTTTGATTAGAGTGCAGTATTTAAATATCTGTTTATTTATGACTATTGACAGATTTTAATTGTCTGATGTGTTTTAGCGGAATTTTTATCAATCGCAAATACTACTACCTTGGGCTTTTTGGAGACGTGGAGGATCAATTTAATCCTAACAATAGATTCGTGGTAACTGCCTGAAAGAATTTAAGCACAATAAATGTTCTATATGATAAATTGTTGCAGTGAATCTTTTATCCTTTTTGTAGGTTGCTATTCTGACAATGTTCACATTAATAACATTATACTCAACTATCATCCCTATTTCTCTCTATGTCTCAATTGAGGTGGGATCTCCTTTTTTACTGCAATCAGCATTTGAGAATATTTATATTACCTAATATAACTAGCTTTTTCATGTGATTTTTTTCATTTTCAGATGATTAAGTTCATTCAATGTACTCAGTTTATCAATAAAGATTTGCATATGTATCATGCTGAAAGTAACACCCCTGCATTAGCACGGACATCCAATCTGAATGAGGAACTTGGGCAGGTATGCTTACATTGTTTTATTGTTGTTTGGTTTATCTAGCTAATATTTATTTGTTATTTTGTAACCTGATATAGATATATTTAGATGAGCTTGGATACATGAACATTGATGAACTTTAAAGTTTTATATCAAGTATGAAATAATTATACTCCATGTATCACTTTCAATTAATTATAATCCATCATCATATTTACAATGAGCAGTGATGCACATTATGTTATTACTCACGTGGCATTAGCATTGATGCAACTGTGTTACCACTTTTGGTACACTAATTTGTTTTCAGGTACATAAAGTTTGGTATGTCTACCTTAGATGTTTTAGTAGGTGATGTAAGTTGCGGTCAGCCAGGCCATGCTTTTGTTAACAGCCTAGGCCTTGGTATTTTTGATTCGTTATGTAAGAACATGAACAGAAAAGGGTTTATCACAATCATGGCCACAAAATTATATGTGAATAAGTTATATTGCAGTTGGGTCTATATTGTCATAAAAAACAGCAGTGTACTGTTATGACTTGTGACCTTCAAAAAGTGTAGTACAATTGTTGTTTGTCTGCCATAACATAATAAAGCAGGGAAGGGGAGGTAGAAGGCTAAGGAATTTGAGATAAAAGAACAAGGATTTCTTTTATTTAATTATTAAGTCATGCAGCACTCTGTTTTGACAGCGGATATGGACTTTTATAGTTAAGTTTTTTCTGACTCTGGAATTGAATGAAATATAAGTTACCCATATTTTCAGTCAGATTAATTACTTACTCTTGATACTCCTGTAGTAACTAGTGATCTTTGAATAGCCACAAAATTTATGATGTGAATGTTCTCAAAACACCTGCCTAGAATCTTGATTCAACCATTCCTTTCTCAGATCGAACACAATTGAACTTAGCTGTTCTGTTCTGAATGTAAATCACATTAGTTCCTTTCTGTAGTGCAATTTGCTTTCTTATGATTTATGACAATCTAGTGTTCATCCTCTAGTGATGAATGCCAATGCTTGATCTTAGAACAATTAGTTTTTTGTAACCTGTTACTTCACTAACATCATCTTCGCTGTCAATATTGATGATGACTGAGATTGAAAACTGATCTGCACAGTTTGATGGTGAATGTCATCCTTTCTTGCAAAACTTGGTTAATATTAAAATTTGTCTTGTAACCCAGACTGATTTGGAACTTCCTGTGATTGCTCATAATTAGGCACGAGAATTGCAATTCAATGCAATTCGAACAATAATAGAGATGCTTCAGGGAGACAATCACAGTTGTTCATGACATGGGATGTCTGTTTTATCATTCCAAAGAGTTTTGAGATTGTTTGGTCTTCAAACATGGACGACACTGCTGCTGCATTATTAGTTTTAGTAAAACATAAGAGCAAGGTTCTGAATACCGTACCATCAATCGGTGTACCGATCAGTTGTCGGTATGGTACGTACCGAGTTGTACCGAGCATGCCAACACATGAGACACTAAGGTGTAGCGATGTACCACCCATATTGGTCCTCTATCGGATTGGTATGTACCGCCCATACTGAGTGGTATGGTATGGTATTGCAAATCATGCATTTGAGTAACAGAGAGAGATAGAACAAGTAAGGCAGAGGAGATGAACAGAAGGGGCTAAAGCTATTTAATAGATCTAAAATTCTGTTTCTTAAGAAAATGCACTTTATTTATTACAACTGGACATATATTTCTTTAATATTTTCGGAATCTAAATAGATACTGAGAAGGGAAGGAAGTTACTTTTTTTTTTTTAATAAGGGAAGGAAGTTTCCCTATTAAGCCACCCAAACATAGCAGTTAACTTCCCCCTAATTGAGTAAGTGTGAGCGAATCTAGATACTTCTATGTAATTTTTCTAATTTCAGAATAACAAAATATATATATTTTATTATTCATACATCCATGCATTTCCCCTTTTGACTTCAATTTAATTTTGCAGCTGATCTTTATTTGGTTTAATTTCTTGGTAAATCAACTAATTCTGTTGTGCACCTAGCTTTATAATTGCTGCATGCTTTTCTTTAGAAAATTTTATATCTTGGTATTAGCGATGAGAGAGGAAAGAGAAGAAAAAACAAGACTTATCGAGATCAGGCAATCACAAATTCTGAACTCTCCTGGGATTCGATTTAGTTTGAATCATCAACTTGGATTGAAATTGCTGAAATTTCAAAACTGCTGAAGCTGCCAAACATGCTTGTAAATTTCAGTAAAACCATAGGAATTGCCAAAATGATCAAAAGTCAAAACTGTTCTATACCTTATCAACTCGAAATATAACTTTTGTTGACTAGTTGTTCAATAAAAGTAATGCTCTGGATTCGGATTAGCTAAATTTGTAAAAGCTGAATACAAGTTACTGAAAACCCTGACATAACAAGGCTTCTGCATGTTCCAAACTATGAAAATTAAAGATTTTATAAAGAGGCCAAAACCAATATTAAAATTGATATTGAACCATTTATCTTTTGCTTTTGCAGGCTGTTGACTTATCTTTTTTTTTTTTGCTTCCACTCTATAGATATTGGGTTTGTTATCTGCTTTTCATGTTTTAATATCTCTTGGCAATTATTTTTCATCATACTTGAGTATGGAAATAGCTTAAGTGGTTCTCAACCACTTGACTGTTGCACCTTTAAGCTATTGCCTAATATCTGTCTGACTTCTCCTTTGATTTAGGAGTTCATGCTAAACTTTTATAATGTCTACTCTACAAGATGAGACAAGTTGAAGCATACACCATGGTAATTGGATCTTATGTAAGGGTAGTCACAGCAGACAGATTACTGCAAAAGAAAGAAATAACTGAAATTTAAAATGAGAACAGAAGGCACAGGAAGGAAAAATGAGGGGAAACAACTGGCAATCATGCTAGATCCACTAAACCTTTTGCTTTCTGCTTATGTCCAGCATTGTCGAATAAAGAGATAAACGAGACTCCAACCTGCCTTTTCTTTTATTACTGCTTGAATAGATCACTGAAATGTAGGATGCAATTCTTACTTTAGATCTTCTATTATTAGCAACTGAAACAGAAATAACTAAAGTAGAACTAATATTTACCTGGTTCATTTATATCAAATTCTTATCTTTCCCTAATAAACAATATGGAAAATGAAGAGAACATACTCTGATTGGAATTTCCATGTCCTTTATGGATAGTTAGAACATAGGAAATTTTGCCTTGGTATGCAATGAAAGTCGAGATGCACCAGAATAAGCATAGCTAAATCATAATTATATTATAGCATTTAAATCATGTTGGTGAACACACAACAATATTTGACATACAAACAAACTTTCATTGCATTTTTATCCTATTCATTAGCTTCTTGACTGTTTATGATGCTAAATCTAAGTGATTCTTGGTGTAGGTGGAATACATATTTTCCGACAAAACAGGAACATTAACTAGAAACCTGATGGAGTTCTTCAAGTGTTCAATTGGTGGAGAGGCATATGGAACTGGTATTACCGAGATTGAAAAAGGACAAGCACAACGCACTGGAAAAAAAATGAATGAGGTATATGTATGTCATTCTTGCGAGATGGCACTAGTAGCAATTACCTTGAAGCATTTAGAGTTCTAATTCAAGTTACTGATGCATATTTTCTTTATTTCTGCTTATAGGTTAATAGGTCAGAGTCGTCAGACACAGCAGTTCATGAGAAAGGTTTTAACTTTGATGATGCCAGGATTATGTGTGGTGCTTGGAGGAATGAGCGTGATCCTGAGATCTGCAAGGTAGATTCAAGGATCTTTACAAAGTTGTTCTTTTGGTATTTGGTTACAGAGAATTATTTTGATTGATTTTGTAAACCAAGTTCTGTTACATGAATGAGTTGTAGAATTTCTTGTCACATTAAAGTGGCCACTTCTTTACTTTTCCCATATGTATGATTCATCATTAAGGTTCTTTTTGTTTACCTTTATCTTTCTATTTTTGTGTACCCAGACCTTATTCACCATTAAGGATCTTTTTGTTAGTAATGTGTACCTATATCGGGGTGTTTATTTTCCACCATCATCCAAATTTAGATTTTTGTGTATGATTAGTTTATTCAATAATATAAGTTAATCATTCTAACAATTGGTTGGAACATACTTTTGTACCTCTACTTCAAGCTAGTTCATATAATAAATTTTGTTTCCCTATTTGGATGGTAGTTCCCTTCTAATGTATTACGGATGCTTGTTTAGTTTGATTTATTTGCAATGGAAAGTTGAACTTGGTGATTATTATATGACATGCTTTGACTTAGCTGTGGACATAAATCAGTTCTTGTGCTTTCATGTGTGGCAGTGTTGTTAGGATGAGTCTAAATACTAACATTTGATGCCTCTTAAAGAACAATTGAACTATCGAAGTGCAAACATCTAAAACCACGGTTCTAAATGCTGTGGCAAATTGGCACATGTACCAGTCTTTTTCTGGCAGTTTCGTCCATTTCAGCCTTCTTTTCATTTAGGGTTCTCACTCATGGCCTCTCTATTTTTATTTCTCGCCTGTGGCCTCCCTCCCTCCCTCCCTCCCTCTCTCTCCCTCTCTCTCTTGTTCAGCTTCCACCCTTCAATGCCGCACCACTTGCCACTGTTGGCCCTGGTACTCCTCTCCTCTAATCCACTTTTTCCCTCTATCTTCTCTTCATATCTAAAACCTTGGTTATGTGAATTGTCAGAATTGTAGGAAGGAGTAGATTCCTAACATATCCTAATTTGAAAGATTTTTCTGGTGATTCGAATTTTAATGGGTATATATGATCACAAAATTGGTACATTTTATATCAAATCCAAGATAAATATGGTTGGTGTAAGAAGGTCATCTGTCCAGCAAGCCTCTCTTCCCTCTGATATCTTGTATCTTGTAGCTAGCATCTTGGTGTGAATACATACGGAGACGTGCACAGAGAACAAGGAAAACAGGCATGGGGCAATTGGAAAAAACCAACTTAGGTGATAAAAAAAATATTTATATACTGTTGTTTTAATCATCACCTCACAAACAATTTCTAGCATCTGAAGATTATTTTGGGTTCATGGTCTGGGGATGATGTTTAACGGGATTCTTAATTTGGGACGGTTTCATGATCATCCCATATAGTGATGATTGGTAAGACTGATTAGTTGGATTACTTTCTAGTTGCCCTTTCAATGAGAAAAATAACATGGGAAGAAAAAAAAGAAAATCACTATATCAAATCAATAAAAAAAAGAATCCATAAAAAATATTTATAGAACTAGTTAAGACCATTTGGAACCTCATCAAAACCAGTGTTTTTAAAAGCGCCTAGGCACTAAAAGATGCTAAGGTCCCAAAACACTCGAGGTGCTAGGTGCTCTCCTAGGTGCTCGCCTTAGTGAAGCGAGATGCTCTAGAATATTAAAATATAAAAAAATATATTAACTAGTGCTAAACAGTTCCAAACAAGGATTAACCACTCTAAATAGCTTTAAAGAGGGACTAAGAACAGTTCTAAAGAGGGATTAACCAGTGCTAAACAACTCTAAAGAGGCATTGAGAAGAGGAGTAATTGGCTTGTAGAGGAAGGTGGGGAAGGAGAGGGCAACGACAGTGGAGGAAACTTCAAACGAAGGTGGCGGCGGCAAAGAAAGCTTCATACGAAGGCGATGTAGGTGGATGGAGCTTCGGATGAAGGCGTTGGTGGCAGAGGGAGCTCCAAATGAAGGCGTCGGCGGTGGAGGGAGTTGCGCTGAAGGCAGCGACAGCGGAGGGAGCTTTGGATGAAGGCATCGGTGATGGAGGGAGATGTGTGCGAAGGCAGCGACAGCGGGGGGAGCTTTGAATGAAGGCGTTGGTGGTGGAGGGAGTTAAGGCAGTGGCGACGGAGGGAGTTGCGCATGAAAGCAGCGGTGGCGGACATAGGGTTTAGGGTTTCGAAGCTGGTTTGAGTGTGCGGGGGGGGCGAGGAGGGGGTGTGGTTTATTGTTAGGGCTCTTCTCTTTAGTAGTTTTAGTTTCAGGAATCAGAGCCCTACTGGTCCTAGCTTGGATTGGTATAAGTTCGAGTTGTAGTAAGTGGGGAAGAGCCACAATAGGACGAGCAATCCTCATTGTGCTCAGGATGCACAACTATCGACATAGGACCAATATAGTTTCAAGTTATACCAACATACTATGCGTTGATATCTTGGTACATATCGTGCTCCAGATAAGACTGAGCACGAAATTACTGCTTGTATTTAACTGTATTGGATTGTATTGCAAACCTTGGTTTGAATTTTGCACGATTTTGCAAAGGATGCCTATGGTTTTAAAATACAACCTTAATTCTTCATGCTTATGTTGTTGGCATTTAGACGCTTATTTAATAATGTGCAACTCTTGATTAGAAAGTTGAAGTTGATCTTTGCATTAAATTAAGCCAAATATACCTAGTTTAGATCTGCCATGAATTTAGTCTGGATCTAGTTGGATTTTGGTTGGGACCTAGGTTGGTGGTTGCTAATTTGATGCAAATTTGGGCAGATTGGGTCAAGGTCCATGTAAACCGAGCTAGATTTATATTGATTTGTCCAAGATCTATGAAGAACTAGGCTAGGTTCAGGTGATCCCAGACTTGATTCTCATATATCTAGGCAAGTTCCATGCAGATTTGGATTAGACCCATGTAAATCTGGCTTGGATCTATATTTATTTGATCTATATCAACACTACAGGGATTTAAAGTCTGGAGGATTAACTAATGATATTTCTCTCAACAAATCTCAATGTTGCAGATGAATTTATATGGCCCGCAGCAAATCATTATGATATTTTTGTTTTTCATTAATTTTTGTGTATATCAATCTCTTCTCAAGTATAAATAATTATATAAAAATGTGGGAAATATGTGTAGCCTAATGCTGTTTTATGAGCATTTCTTTCTTTTTAGGTGAATAAAATTAGACTATATCTTTGGACTTGATCATTACATTTAGTTTACTACTACACTGTTTTGAAGTTGATCCTATTTCATGTGTAGGAATTTTTCAGATGTCTTGCTTTATGTCATACCGTTCTTCCAGAAGGTGATGAATCACCAGAAAAGATCACATATCAAGCTGCATCACCAGATGAGGCTGCTCTTGTAACTGCTGCAAAGAATTTTGGTTTCTTCTTTTGTAGGTAATATTAAGATTGTGTTTTTTGTTTGTTTTTCCATCTTGGGTATAACATATTTAGCCTTTTGTCCCTTTTTAAAGTTAAAAAGTTTTAAAAACAAGTTCTTGTACCCATTCTGGAACCTATAACCTTATAGGACTGTACCAATATTGAAAATATTAAAAAACAATGTCAGTACTGGTCCATATATTCAGCATTCATTGGATTTAAATCCATGTTTAATTTTTTTTTCTTTTTTGTTCTATTTCCACAGGCGTACACCAACTACCGTCATGGTACGTGAATCACATGTTGAAAGGATGGGAAATATACAGGATGTGTCCTATGAGATCCTAAATGTTCTTGAATTTAACAGGTAAGTTTAAGTTCATGTTCTGACCTGAGTTATATCAAGGCATTTGCTATATATGCTTTTGGTTTTTGATAGCACGAGGAAGCGCCAATCGGTTGTGTGTCGCTATCCTAATGGAAGACTTGTCCTCTATTGTAAGGTAAGATTTTGGTCTTAAGACTTCTAGGCATTTTATTGTACAAAGTTAATCCTAAGATAGTTAACTCTTAAGTTATAAATTATTCACAGGGTGCTGATACTGTTATATATGAAAGATTGGCCGATGCAAATCAAGATATTAAAAGATTAACCAGGGAGCACTTGGAGCAGTTTGGTTCTGCAGGTCTACGTACACTTTGCCTTGCCTATCGGGAATTAACAAATGACTTGTATGAAAAATGGAATGAGAAATTTATTCAAGCCAAATCGTCTCTGAGAGATCGTGAGAAGAAACTTGATGAGGTGTGCTGGGTTGTGACTGTTCTCTTAAAACTGTTTTTGTGGACCAATTGTAGTTCTATGCTCCTTAGTATGTGTTTGTTGTGTTATACACATATTTCATTCATTGCACATCTGAATATCTGTTGTGTTATACACATAATTCATACATTGCACAAATCTGAATGCCTTTTCTCTTACTCATATTTAAGCTATTTGATTATATTGATAGTAGGAACAGTACTTTTTGAACAATAAACTTAACTATCTTAATTTGAAGTGTTTGTCCTGTTTTATTTTATTTGCTTGCCCTTGACTTTCCCTTTTATTTTATTTTATTTACCTGTATTATAGAATTTTATGTCTGTAAATTATGCAAGTTGAAAGGCACAAGAGAAAACACAAGTTTGACCCTTAAAAATAGAAATTTATTAAAACGTGTAAAAAGCTTACAACCAGCAACAGTTGCTGACAAAAGAGAGCTAGGAGTGAGGAAGACAAGGATATTCACCATGAATTATGCACATGGAGTGACCCACTATTTGCCTGTTCTCTTGAATACTACCTGTTCATAGATGCTGAGATGGTTTATGATGTAATTTGACTTTCCAACGTTCCTTCTTAATTGCTTTTACCATGTTATAATCTCAGCATATTGGTGATATTTTGCCAAACACTTGGTATGATTGACTTAAGTGATATCTGCAACTGGATTTATTTGTTGGGAAGCTGAGTGGGTAAATGTATTCTGCAGCCAATGTGTAACTTTTCAATTTCTTTGTTATAGGTGGCAGAGCTGATTGAAATGGGTCTCATACTAATAGGATGCACTGCTATTGAAGATAAACTTCAAGATGGAGTTCCGGCTTGTATAGAAACTTTGTCTCAAGCTGGAATAAAAATCTGGGTGTTGACAGGAGATAAGATGGAGACTGCAATAAACATAGCATATGGTATGTCAAATATTATGTCATATAGGTCTGTGATTGCTTCACATCAAGAACTAGAGTGCTAAAAAATAATTGTAGCATCTTGTCGTATAGCTATTGATATTTCCATGTGAATGTATCATTGATTCTATTCTCAAGTTGAAAGCTTATTGAGTGATGCCTATACTTGTGTGCAGCTTGCAATCTGATCAATAATGACATGAAGCAATTCATTATCACTTCGGAAACTGATGCAATTAGGGAGGCCGAGGACAAGGTACGATGAACTGGCCTGGATTCTTATAATACACTAACTTGAATAGTGTGCTATAAAAGCAGATTGTTGCTGATAGCCTCTAGCTCATGCATCAGGGCTACATAAACCAACTACTAAAGTTTCCCTTGAGTATAATTTATTTCTATACCTTTTCTTTAAGGTATATTTGTCTTAGGTACTTTGCAACTTCAAAGGCAAAAAAGTTGCTTTTGCTTTGGGGAAGTACTTAAGAACTCCTTATATAGGGTTAGATGCTCCTTACTACTCATGATAGAACTAATGATAAAACCGTTGATGACATCAACACATTGACTATTACAATTTTGCCATCACCACCACTTTTACCACTGCCTCCAGATATTAATCATCATTGTTGCTGCCACTGCCACTGGTGGCTATCAACACTACCATCAGTAGCCATTGCCAATACCAACCACCACCATTTGGTCATAGCCACCATGGCTACTACTATTGCTATCACATTTTCCGTAGCCACCACCGTCACCATGATCACATCATTGCCAGTATTTCCACAATTATCATTATCACTACTACCATTATTGCTAGTATCCTACTGCTGTATCATCAGAACGATTAGTCTCCGAAAAAAATGACCATCACTGTACTATTATTGGCAATAGGATCCTCGATAATATGGTGGCTACGAATATGACAAGCTCCGGTCTCTGTCTACATCGTAGAGGTTCTGTCACATCTGCTTGAAGTTATAAACTGCCTTCCCTTTCCCTTGTTTCTTGCGAGTATAAACGTTACGCATGGTTCCTCGAGTGATCTATATCTTGGATGGCATGCGTAAAATGCTTAGTCTATGTCTCACCATGAGGTTGAGTAGATGGAACCATTGATTTGTTGGCATGGATGCTAGCATCAGTCGAGGCATTACCGTCGACATTGTTGCTATCTCTACAAACCTTGTGAAGTGCTGACTGCAATGGAGAAGGTATCTCATCATCGGACTGAAATTGTTGCTCATTGATTCTTTCTAAGGGATCGATTGATGCTACTTCCTTTCCCTTTCCCTTCCCCTTCCCCTTCCCCTATGCACAATTGTGATTGTTTGGTGCTATGACCTCGACTAGATTGACTTGAGGTTGTCTGACCACCACGTTCTAAACGAGGGGATCTTCCTCCTTTTGCGAATATTATTCCTTTTCTTCTATAACCTCAGTGATAAAACGAGATGGATATGGGAACCTCCTACCTCATAAAGCAATGGAACTCTTAGGTTTTTGTTGCTTCAACCCATTCCTCTAGCTCTTTATCAAGCTTGACACCCCATAACCTTAGATGCATATTGTAGTGCACTTATGCCAGCTTCTCTAGGCGTATATATGATTGTCTAATTGCTACTAAAATTAAGATAAACACACTAATAATATAAAAAACACATCCAATTGGCCCTAGTTGGTTCTAAATATGCGGTGATTAGGTATAATTACCACTAAATCGACTCTAATAGTGAGGTAATGGTCCTAATGGTCCCAATAATATAAAGAATGACACTAATCAACCTTAACATGGTTTCATTAGGCCTAATTACCCCTAAATTGACCGTAAAAGTAAGGTTATGGCCCTAGTTGGCCTTAGATTTTGAAGAATGATACTAATCACCATTAACTAGTTAAAATTGGGAAAAAGAGTGCTAATATAAAGAGAAATACACTAATCACCCCTTAATATGCTGTGGTTTAGCCTAATTACCCCTAAATTGCTCCTAAAACTAAGGTAATGACACTAATCGGCACTGAATTATATAATGACACCAATCACCTTATTAGGCCCTAATTGCTCCTAATTTTCCCTCAAAGTCAGACAATGGCTCTAATCGGCCCTAAAGGATTGCATTAATCAACATTAAATATCTATAATTAGGAAAAAAATATCTCTAATATCAAGAAAGATACACTAATCAAACCCTAACTACTCATACAAAGACATAAGTAAAGTCTAAACATGTCAAACTCTAACTAAAACATAGATGATAAATACCTTCAGTAGAAGAGATCTTCCACCAAATGTCAAGTTTGAACACTTAATCCCTCCAATTGAAGCTCTAAGCCTTCTAATCTCCGATTTGGAAGCTCAATTGAGAAAAAGAGCAAGGAAGAGTGAGAGAGAGGGGGAAACTTGTGTGAGTGAGAGGGAGTGAAAGAGGGGAGGGAGGAAGGTTAATCTTTGAACCAGGTCAAAATTTTCTGGCCCTAGATGTGTATCGATCGAGATCCAACCATTAATGACCGAAACATGTCAGTAATGGTCATTTTTCGACTGTTTTGCCCAGTTTTTGGGGTGTACTGCCCAGTACGCCCCTTGCCTCCTTTTTTCTGCATGAAACGGGGCGGTGCATGTGCCGATTGCCCATTGGACCGATACATACCACCTGTACTATACTGTATCGGGCGAAAAGTCAATCCTTGACTATCACCACCACCATGTTAGCCCATTGTTGTTGCCACAAGCATCTCTACTGCCATTGACATACCAGTTCATCACCTTTGCTGTCATCATCACCATTGTCACCACTACCAACATAACCACCATTGCTATCACCACCATATCATTTCCATGGTTGCCACCATCTCGCCACTGAGCAATGTCATGACCACTATGACCAACATCAGCACCATCATCACTGCCACTGGATGCTATCACTATCAGGCCGCCAGTAAAAGCCATCACCAATGTTGATCGCTATTACCATCTACCACTGTCATTGTTATTACTAGTCCACAACAACTATCTGCCACTATTGCCACCTTTTTTGTCACCACCAAAACTAAACTACTATTTTCACCGCCATGGCTGCTACTTTTTTGTTTTTGTAGCTGACACCACCTTTGCCACCACCATCGACAATCACCACCACTGTCATTTCATTGTCACCACCACAACAGGCCACCACCATTGGCGCCACCACATTGGTCAGTTCCATCAGAATCTTTGGCTATCACTACTGCTATCAACTTACTGCAGCCCCCACCACTACATGCTGACATTGTCAACCCACTACCATCACCTCCCGAGAAGTTACTTTGTTATAACGACAACGACAAAGCCATAAGTCGGTCGACCACATGAATCTTTTACTGTCATTGAAATCTGTAAAATGTTATATGTTTAGTTAAGTTAAGAATATTTAAATTCTTATTTATAGTTTCTATTAAAGTTTTTTTAGGCTTTCCTCTATCTTTCTTTGTACCACTAATGATAATCATTTCATCACTTTTAACTACCTCATCCATAGGTTGATTCTCTCTCATTTTATCGTCTATAAAAGTGATACCTAATTATTCATGAATAAAAATATATATGGTAGCACAAAAGCAACTTACATAAAATATTTGTTTACTTGTATAAAATACTTTTAAAGCTAAAAAACTTTTATAACCAAATGTATATGGAAGCACAAAAGAAAAAGCCAGTTTTAAAGGGAGCATATGGCAGTACCATTATACCCATTCAGTTCTTTTCACTTAATCAAATGAAGTACATTTCTGTTCCAAAAAATTGATTTAATTATACATATTGCTACTGCCAGGGTGACCCTGTGGAGATTGCACATATTATTAAAGACTCAGTGAATCATGATCTGAAACGATGCCTTGAAGAGGCTCAGCAGTACCTTCATATTTCTGGGCAGAAGTTGGCACTTATAATTGATGGCAAATGTTTAATGTATGCGCTGGATCCAAATTTACGTGTTAATCTGCTCAACTTAAGCTTGAATTGTAGTTCAGTAGTGTGCTGTCGTGTTTCTCCTCTTCAAAAGGCACAGGTAAAGTTTGGAAGTGTTCTTCTCATTTATGTTAAAACATTCTTTGCTGTTGACTTTTGTTGTTGGCAATAACAAGGGTAGCGCTAATTAATCATAAGGCCATGTATACATCACGAATGTTAAGTCCATTTTGCTCAGAATTTCAGTACTCCTTATATGTTAGGACTTAGGACTGGGTTGTTTCCTTTTCTGGACTATTTTTTGTTAAATTCCACTGCATTAGTTTGATATTGCTTCTGGTTGTAATCCCATTCTTTGTAATCCTCTTTTCAAATATCTAATTGAATCATTTCTTATCAGTCTTTTTTTGCTTTTCTAGTGTCTGAATTAAAGACTTTGAATATTATCATATGTTTTATTTGGTTCAAAACCCAATTGTGCACATTTGTGGTGCTAGGTTACTAGCCTGGTAAAGAAAGGTGCCCGAAAAATTACCCTAAGTATAGGTGATGGTGCGAATGATGTGAGTATGATCCAGGCTGCTCATGTTGGTGTTGGCATAAGTGGTCTGGAAGGAATGCAAGCTGTAATGGCCAGTGACTTTGCCATCGCTCAGTTTCGTTTCCTTACTGATCTTCTTCTTGTACATGGAAGATGGTCGTATACCAGGTTATGTAAGGTTGGTTTTATTTCCTTGGTTCTACCCAAGCTGTTAAGGCTAATAAATCTCGAGTCTTATAGACTTCTCCTTGCAGGTTATCACATACTTTTTTTACAAGAATCTTACCTTTACATTGACCCAGTTTTGGTTCACCTTTCAAACTGGGTTCTCTGGTCAGAGATTTTATGATGACTGGTTTCAGTCATTATACAATGTCATTTTTACAGCACTTCCTGTGATCATCGTTGGACTGTTTGACAAGGTACTTGTGGCCTACCATGTGCTCTTTATAATCTTTTATCATTCTAGACATTGTCATGCCAAGTGAATCTATATGCAGTCTTTTAAACCGAGGTTTGCTACTGTCCAGGATGTGAGTGCTTCCTTGTCAAAGAAGTATCCAGAGCTCTACAAGGAAGGAATTAGAAACATGTTCTTCAAATGGAGAGTCGTGGCAGTATGGGCATTTTTTGCCTTGTACCATTCTTTGATCTTCTATTACTTCACGACTGCTGCAAGTCAGAATGGTCATAATTCTTCAGGGAAGATATTTGGTCTTTGGGATGTTAGTACTATGGCCTTCACTTGCGTTGTGGTGACTGTCAACTTGCGTCTTCTCATGGCATGCAATTCAATTACCAGGTGGCACCATCTGAGTATTTCAGGGAGCATTTTAGCCTGGTTTGTATTCATCTTCATATACTCTGGAGTAATGACCCCCTATGATAGACAAGTAAGTTCTCAGTCATCTTTCTTCACTAGCACTTGTTTATTTTGACTCTTATTAATTTGTTCTTGTCACAGGAAAATATCTTCTTTGTCATATATGTGCTGATGAGTACATTTTTCTTCTACCTCACGCTTTTGCTTGTCCCCATTGTTGCACTTCTTGGTGATTTCTTATATCTGGGGTAAGACTTGTTTTATTAATTGCTATATATAGATATTGTTGTTAGAACACAATTTCCTCCTTAAAACAATTTCAGATTTTTTTTTAAAGGTAATTTCAATGATGAACTTTAAATTTAAATCGACTTGTAATTTTGTCCCGAATCTTCTCGGGCTATGATTCACATACGAAACACTGTCAAGCCTCCAAATGTTTGCTTCTAGTTTCTACTGTTATTTATGTTCAATATGATTTTTATTAATTTAGACTACATTTTCAGGGTCCAGAGATGGTTTTTCCCCTACAATTATCAAATTGTTCAAGAGATTCACAGAAACGAGTTAGAAGGTACTAGCAGGACGGAGTTACTGGAAATTGGAAATCATCTAACACCAGATGAAGCAAGAAGCTACGCTATATCACGGCTTCCGAGAGAAAAGTCCAAGCACACTGGTTTTGCTTTTGACTCGCCCGGTTACGAGTCATTTTTCGCGTCACAGCAGGGTGTTTTTGCACCACAAAAGCCATGGGATGTAGCCCGTCGAGCCAGTACAAGGTCCAAAAGAACATCTCAAAGATAATTCTTTTTGTTTCATCCAATGTAGATTTGTTTGTCATCACTAGTTAAGAATGTAAATTAGCTGTGGGTTGTAGCTTTTTCATATTTCTTTTCACGGTTTTATTTCTCATTATCTATTTTCTCATACATCATTTTGTCTAGAAAACAAACATATATCCAATCGATTGCTTGTTCGAGGCTGAAGGATGTTAGGTTGACATATTTTCCCCCGGTATTGAATTCATAACATAATCATTTGCTGGTAATGTACATTTGAGTGTTTTTTGTGCTGCTTTCTACTCGTAACCCTTTCTCTGATGCTGATCTACAATTTGATTTTGGTGGTGGAGAATCAAGATGGTTCGCCTCCAACGGGTCGGGTTTGAGCTCTGGCTTCCGAGTCGGATGCTCCCTGGGACTAATCGCCTGCTCCTCGGGCTCCGGTTCTTGCACTTAGGTCGGGGTCGGGAAGGGGCTCCCAACCTTGACTCCTTCGAAGATCTTGCTAGTGTTGAGTGGCCAGAGAGGGATCTCCTGTCGAAAGACCCCTTGAGGGGTTTTTATCTTCTCTTCATAGGAATCGATTATACTTGGGTTGTTTATTATCGTCGGCGATGTACCTGGTTGGCGTCATCCCGGTTTTTGGGGGATGGCACTGTGCACGGTTGGCACCATCCCGGCCTTTGAGGGATGATGTTGTGCGCGGTCGGCGTCGTCACGGCCATTGTGGGACGGTGATGTGTACGGTCAGCGTCATTCTGACCCTTGTGGGACGGTGCCGTGTACGGTCGGTGCCTGCCATCCCGGTCTTTGCAAGGTGGCGTCATGCTTGGCGGGTGCTGTGCTGGGTTGGCACCGTCTCGACCTTTGTGGGTCGGCACATCCCAACCTTAACTCCTCCGAAGATCTTGTTAGTGTTGAGTGGCCAGAGAGGGACCTCTTGCCGAAAGACCCCTTGAGGGGTTTTTTTCTTCCCCACACAGGAATCGATTATACTTAGGTTGTTTATTATCGTCGGCGATGTACCTGGTTGGCGTCATCCCGGTTTTTGGGGGATGTGTTAGAACCCTTGCAGATTCTAAACTTGGGGTTGATCTCTTTAGGGGATCGGCATCCTTGGAACTCTATAGGGGTTCCTCCCTCCAAGTGCTGCTCAAAGGCTGTAGAAAAGTTTCATCTATTGCTTGAGAAAAGAGGAGGAATACATGGCTATTTATAGGGTTTCTAAACCCTAACTCCTAATAGGACTCCTACTTAAGACTCTTACTTCTAACCAACTCCTAATAGGACTCCTACTCAAGACTCCTATTCCCTTACAACTCCTAATTCTTCTCTAAGAAAAAACCTCCTACATGAATGTCCCTCTCAATTAGGACTCTCATAACTAGAGTCCTAACAGAATGTCCCTCTCAATTAGGACTCTCCTAGCTAGAGTCCTAACAGAATGTCCCTCTCAATTATGACTCTCCTAGCTAAAGTCCTAACAGTTTTACATGAATGTCCCTCTCAATTAGGACTCTCCTAACTAGAGTCCTAACAAACCCGCCCTCTTCAAATCAGCCTTGTTCTCGAGGCTGACGATTCATGAATTTTGGGAATTTGATCTTCAAGTCATCATAGTTCTCCAAAGTGGCATCTTCTGTTAGTAGGTTTGCCCACTGTATTAGCAATTCAATAGTGGATCG